GGCGGGGGGGGGGGGGAAGATGGGCAGAGATGAGTCAGTTACAATTCTGCTGGGTTTTTTTTCCCTGCAGAAGATTGTACAGCAGAAAGGAACTAACTGTATATTCATTGAACTAATATGGGATTTGGCTGAGTTTTATATTTTAGGATCTACTGTAATCTGAAATCAGCAATTGAAAAACCCACAAACCTGTATATTTCTAATTCTGTTTATTCCACAGCTTAAAAGGCATGAACAGATCCTACTCTTCCTTTTAAACAAGTTTGAGAATACGGATGGATTCACAGAAATGAAAAAACTGTTGCACCACTAAGTCTATGACATGCAGTTTCGTTTGCAGCAATCTCATATACATACAGATCCTTTTTTGGAAGAGCAAGTATATTCATCATCTTAATGAGAGTTGTTTTATAGAAATTATGCTGTTCAAGTACCTGTATTTACTTGTATGCTTGGATTGTTACTGTGAAATAAATGTGTAACTTAAAGGATTTCAAGGCTGCAAGTTAAGTTTTCTGTTTTTGTTTTATTCCATTGTGTGCTTTTTTGCTTTTATTGTGCTGTTGAATGCATGTAAGTTGATGGAACGGCCATCATTGTGGGTCTGTTCTGCAGACTTGCATTTGAAATTGTTGTAATCATAAAGCTTACTTCAACTTTAGTATTATTCATTTTACTTGAACTGTATCTTGTCTTGATTTGTCTGCTTCTAACTTAATTTCCATTCTGAAGTTAGACTGAAAGTTGTTCTTCATAAACTTGGTTTCAGTATCATTAAAGGCTGAATCTTCTTTATAGGTAGTTTTCTCTAAAACCAGAAAACACTTATATACTCAGTTCTTTATTTACACTTGCAAGCTGCGTAGTACACATCTGTGAATATTGTTTTGAAGTAAATTGTATTAATGCTGTTTTCTCTAACTATGTTGTCAGGATTTCTGCCCTGTCAAGATTTTTCAGATCAGAATGGGACTTTTCTATTCTGGGATATGAGAAAATGACTCAGATTTTCAGTATTTCTCTAAAATATAGTTGATACCCGGTGGTGGTGTTACCAGGGAATACCAGATAACTGTTCATAGAGCACAGTAGACATTTGCTTACTGAAACTGCAGGGTCATCTTTTTTTGTTCACTTGAAGTATATATTTTAAGTTGAGGCTTTGTGCAAACTGGAAGGATCTTGAGATTAAACTTGTTGTGAAAGTGAAATATTTTTGTTTGACTTAAGTGTAATAAAACATTAAGTTGCTTCCCCCCCCCCCGCCTCTTAGTTTTTTGTTGCCTCATATTCTTGCAGTATCTACTAATTAGACAAACTTTTGCACTTGGGTCTTGAGTCTTTTCGTGGCCCTAGTTCTGAACCAAGACAGTGGATATCTCGTGTCCTTTAATTTCCTGGGACAAGGGTGCCCATGTGCAAAGATGCTTTAGTCCTGCTGTGGCTTTTGTTCACTTTTCCACATACTGTCTCTCCCAGCAACTAGTCCTTGCATTTCAGAAGATGACTTTGACTGCAGTAGTCAAAAGCAGTCTGTCTATGCTTTAGAAGCAGGAGAAATAGAAAGTGAATCTTTGCTTGTTCTACTCAGGCAAAAATCCCTGGAAAGCAGTGGTTGGTGTTTACCTTGGAGATGTATTTCAAGCATAAAATGTGGAAACCTCTTGGACTTCTTGAATGTAGCCTTGGGTTCCTCTTTTTTTGCTTGTTTGTTTGCTTCTTTTAATCTGTAATTGAAGTATGTTCTTGAAGTGATAAACTCTCAGCTATGGATTTTATATATATATATATCTCTTATCTAGATGCTAGTATAGAGTCTAATTTCCAAGTAATTTTCCAAACAGAGGACATTATATGAAACACTTAACTGTAACATCCATGCTTTTGGTAAATAAAATTTCTTAATCCTCTCTGGATAAGAAAGACAAAAGTGATCTGAAACTCTAGAATAACATAGCACTTCTGAAAGGGAAGTAATATAAATTTAATAAAAGTTTACAGCAATGTGGATGGTCTTTTTTTAATCCTTAAACGATTGTTTTAATTTACAAATCACTATTGGAGGAACTGGAGTATGATATACTTCATTCATTGGCTTTGACTGAAATTATTTAATTATTATTTAGCACTTGGTGTTGTGTTCCATTCCTAACTCTACCTGCTGTGAGGTAGACCCAAGGGAGTGTTTGGTCTGTACAGATTACAGGGGCTGTTAACAGGGTGAGTGTAGTGGGCACTGCACATCCCGCTGGAGAAAAGAAGTAAAAAGCAGAATAAGGAAAACTGATCTAGGAATGGGATCTGCTACTGTAGTATAGCTTTGGTTAGTGGAATTGTCTTATTACATACTTAAATTCCAGTTTATTCTTAGAGAAGTAGCTATTTGTAACTCCAAAATACATGACGTTCACACTTTTCAAATATTAAGTTCTTTTCTACTTCTACAGTTGTACGTCTTCAGTTGTTTAAAAAAACCACAGTTTTTTAAATTGGCCTTGTAATTCCTCCAGGTGTAGTAGGTGTGAATATGGTACTTTTTTCCACCTGTGAATTATAGTTTTCTGTGGAAAAACAAGCATTAGGGAAAACATTCTCAACATATGACTCCTCAGTGGCATTCCTTTATGGCTGTTGGTGGTGCGAAGTAACCTGCAGCCAGTGGTTTTACTGCTGCTGGGGGTTGGTGCCAGGAGTGGGGCCAGGGGATGAGCTTAGCTGTAACCTAGAGCAATGTGGGTGTTCTTGGCTTTGCTTTTTCTCCCAAATCGTAATTGTAGGTGGCAGGATGTGATGGATGAGGAGAGGCTGTCGTAGCTAAACACAATATAAATCCGAGTGTGAAGGAGTCTGCTCATAACCCCATCGGGTGTGCAAGGGCTACGCAGCAGTCTTGCAGAGAAAAGGTAAAACACAGCTCAAACCGCTTTTCCTTTTTTTTTTTTTTAGTCGATAACATTTTAAACCAATGCCTTAGAAGTCAGGGCCCCTCTGGGAAGGCAAAGGTGCAGAGAGCAAGCTCGCTCGCCGGAGCGGGGCGTGCGGCGGCGGCTGCGGGT